CATTGGCAGTGGCAGAGTTTTTCTCACACTTGACATTCTTGAACATTTCTTTATGGAATGAGCAAAATATTTCAATTCCAAAGATCTCAATGAAAAAAGGAAAAAGTGTTGTCTCCCAGGCATGTGGGAAAAGTGTGGTAATATACTCAGAAGAAGATGGTTTGCAGTCAAACTTGAAATCTGTTTCCAGGTGTTTTCCTTTTGACAAATTAATTTGGCAGAGATGGGACTAAAAAAAAATACAAGATAATGTTTCCCTTTATTTTCTGTGACTAGTAAACCCATAGTTTTGTTTCTAAAGAGACTTTTACTTTGAGAAAAGGTTGAAAGGATGATTTATTCTGGCTTACTAAAACCACAGGCAAAAGCAGAAGCTCCTGTGAATAAGGATCCAAGCTAGAACAGAAAATTGCCATGGGTAAATCTTAATGGTCTAGTTCTGTGTCCACGACAGCCTCTGTCAGGATGTGCTGTGATGCCATTCTGGAATGAAATGAATATAGCATACTTCTGTTAGCTTTTAAATGTTGTATTTTCTTCTTTAAAAAGCCAGATTTAAACCAGATATTTGGAGCTGTCAAAATGAAAATACCATTTCACTGCATACAAATGCTTTATCTTCATGACTCATCTAGCTGGTTCAAAATTTTACTTTTTTGCAGGAAAGACCTCGTGGTCCCTTCAGTTTGTCCATGCACCTAACTTGAAGTGGTGTGGGTTTAAGCAGAAGTGATAAACTAGGTGGAAGCTGACTTAAGTGGCACCCGTGTAAAGGACTCCACTGCTCCCAAAGTCTCACTGCAACCTGTACTCAGAGCTGAGTAACAGAGTTCTCCCCAGAGAGGCAAGTCAGTCTCCTGTCACTCTGTGAGTGGCTCAGGAGCAGCAGGGTCTATTGTGAGGAGTGAAGCAGTGCCTGCTTGAAGACATCCTCAAGGGTTCTTGGCTCTTCTACCTTCCTTCCTCTTGTGTGGATCATCACAGGAGCAGAGATTGCATCTGGCTGCAGTGAAGATTTATGTATATTGGCTGCTTGGATCTCAATGAACAATTTGAAAGATACTTAGCTCAAATTTTGTGCTGCAGCTTTTCACAGTTAAGCTATTTTCTTTATGTGGATAAAAGGTACCAAATGCTCTGTAATTTTCCACCCTGTCTTTTAAAGGAGTTCTGATCCTGGCCATGTTTGCAAGAGAGCATCTCTTCTGTCTACAAAAGCATCTTCTAGTATCTCTTGAATATTGTATTAAGCTGAACTCTGTGAAGTGGTAGTTGATGTTTCATTTTGATTTTTCTCACTTTTTTTGTCAATCTCGCCAAATACCTAAGAAGGGCAGGGTCTCACCTCTCCCACCACAGCAGAGTGTGTTACCTAGAACTGTGGGTTTTTCTAACTCCTGCATAAGTAATAGAACTTTTGCTTTCCCCTAAACCTAGGCTGGGGCTCAGGGAATGGGAGTGGGACAGTTAAGTAACTCCTGCTTAAGAAGTAATTACCCTAGTAAAGAAGAGAGTACAAGCTTTTTGTCAGATGCCATTTTATTTTTGTATTAAGAACATATTTAAGATTGGGACTTTTAAATAATTTCATTTTTGACCTAACAAAAATAATGCTTATATCATGTTCTGTGAGTTTACACTGAAGTTGATTGTAACTCAGTTCTTACTTACTTAGAGCACATGGGAAAATTATTGATGAAACCACCAAGGTGGTAATTATTTTATATAAGCATGAATTATGTAGAAAATCTGCATGTTTAAAGACATTATTAATAGATTGTCATTTCCATTAAGAATATACATTTTTCACTAGTTTGGAGAAGCATAATTAGAGTGGAAAAAATGTTTCTTAGGTACCCACTATAAAATACAAAGCTGTTTATGCAACAGAATAAGTTCTGTGATGATATGGACTGTGGTTTGGGCAACTCTGTAAAATCAGGTGCATGTGAATGAGGAAAAAATACTTATTACTTCAAGGGGGAGGAAATGGTGAATTTTGGGACATTTAAGTTATTTTCATAAAATTTATTGAATACGAGTTTTATTTTGATCTCCTACACCCTTTCACCCTCAATCTAATGCATATTCTTGTGGCTTGTATTTTCAAGAATTAATCAGAAATATGTTCGCACCTTCAGTTTGTTTCTGAATGGTACAAGAAAAACAAATAAACCCACCAAAAGGATGAGAAAAGATGTAACTGAAATTCTTTCAATGCCTCTTATGCATTCTGTGTAAATTATGAACATGGTATTGGCTCCTCAAGATTAACTTAAATGAATGAGTCTTTTTCTGGAAAAGGGCACATGCATTCTACCAATAAATACTTTTGGATACTAAAGTACTTTGTCTAATATTTCCAAACCAGTGTTATGCTCAATTAAAAGGAAGCAATACTGCCTGATTAAATACTTTTGTTTTAATAATCTTTGAATAGCTAATTCCTGAACTCCACTGGTAATTTAGATTAAAGAAGCGGCATAGCCTAACAGTGTGAAATGGATGTGACAGAGTGATGCTTCATTCCAAGATTTCCTGAGAGAGCAAAAAACCTACCGTTTATTTTGCTGTGTCATAAGACTGTGACAAAAGTATATGTAGAAAGACTGACACTTCACCAGGCAAACAGAGCAAACGCTGTTTTGATGTATTAGTTTGTTATAATAATTTGCATGGACAGTGTGATTTTTTTTTTTTAATTGCTTGCCTTTGAAATCCATAGATACACTGTGTTTACATAGGAAACTACTATTGATGGTTTCTTTTTTCCATTTAGGAATGGTACATCATTCCCTACCGAAATATTATGTTCTTCCAATGCTAGCTGGATCATTGCTAGTTTTATTAATTTGCAAATTTTTCATCTTAGCACTTTTCTAGGATGTGAAAAAACTAATGAAACAATGAGAAAATAAATTTTAGTTCTAGAATACTGTAGTACTGGGGATTAGTGTTCATTGCAAAATCACAAAGAGTGAAATAATATATTATTTTAAAAAACTTTTTTTGGCAATTTTAGCATGTATCTCAAACCTAGGATGTAATGGGCACTTATTGTCGGGCCTGTATTTCTTCTGTTAATTTCCAGCATTAAGGAGTATTTCACTATAACAGAAGGATTTAGGTAGATTTAAAGTGTTCCATTTAAACCAAAAGTCTTACCCTTAAGTTTATAAAATAATCTTTTAAAGCAATATGATTACTTAATGTAGTTAAATAGAAAGACAATAGTATGTCTTAAACATTCTAATGCATAAAGTTTCTTTGGATATCAATCACAGTTTAGATAATGGAGATATATCCAGCTGTCTGAAATAGAAATAAACTCTTGGTGCAAATGATTTTAGAACTGCTCTGGCACAGCGTATCTATGCAACAGATGGAAGTGCCTCCTTAATTATTTTTTTTTTCTGTAAGGATAAAGAATGCATTAAAATTTCCAGTTATTAAAAATGTTGAGCTGCTTTAATTCTATATGGCTAAATAAAATCAATGCAGTATTGATAAATTTTTACACACTGTACTCTTGTGTACATGGTGTACATTTAAGTGAGGCGTGCAATGCTGGAGCTTTGGAAGAGAAAGGAGGAGTGCCAAAGTTTGGAGAAGATTGATTTGTTAGGGTAAAAACACTGAAAGCAGTGTGGGACTGTTTAAATTTTTTGTTAATTCTTTGATGCATATACCTTGATTATTGTAGAGGGAATACTTTTCCCTGCAGGTCTTCATCCTTCCTCTGTTTGCTCTCACTGCTGCTTGTAGTTTGGGGTTTTTTTTCTGTGTTTGGGCCAGAGAGTTTGGGCCTCTTAAAGTTCAGGGAATGGTTGAATTTGTTCTCTGTCAGTCTCTGCGTGTTGTAGGATTTCCAAAGGGCAGACATCAGTATTGACATATGGGTGTATATAAGAGCAGGTACATTGATCAGAAAAGTGTTTGCTTCCTTAGTTGACAGCACCAACTCAATATGCTGTGATTTTCTGTCTCTTGAAGGATAAGGTGAATTGTCTTAATAGAACTGGAATGGTGATCACTGATGGTGGGAGTGAAATGTTCTGAAACCACCACTGGGAAGCCCTACATACCCATTTGCTTAGTATCCTGCTGGATCATTGGTATAAGTTCCCTATGACCTCACCCATCTGCTCAGAAATGCAGTCTTTTTGGAAAAGGGAGAAAAATATTGAAATCTTTCTATTCTTCAGTTTTTGCTGAATTGTATTACTTCACTGTAACTGAGTTACATTAAACAATCCACTCAAGGTTTAAATAAGCAGTCAAAGTAGTGTAGTTATATTTTTTGACTATTCTGTTCAAACCTATTTTTTCTTTTATAATTCTTCTATGAAGCTGAAATGTCTTGTCAGCTGTGCTGGCTGCTACACCAGTTAAAAATTTGCTCTACAGCCCCATTTCCAATAATTTAGGTCCTTGGACACTTCGGCTGTTCTGTGTTTATATATGGTCCCTTTAGTGTTTTGCCTTTTAAAAAAAGAGCTTTTGTGTTTATAAAAGTGATTGTACTGTACTGTTTATATTTGCAGAATGATTATAGCATCCTAGAGTCATTTATGCTGGAAAAGACCTTTAGGATCATTGAACATAAAAACCATGTGCTATCCTGGGAAATAAGCAAACACTAATACATGCCTTTGGTTTGCTCTTCATATGGAAGGATTTTTGATACACTTCCCTCCTCACCACTCTTCAGCCTTTTTGAAATTATATGTGCTCCTGAGTTTGTGGACAGTATTCCTCAAGGGCAGTAGGTGCAGGACATTCAGATGGCAGGGTGTGAATCTCTAAAAAAGCCTGGAGGAAAGACCACTTTCAGACAGTGAAAGTTGCTTTTGAATTGCACATCCTGAAAGTATTGATCTTTAAGGCTGAGGCTGTGTATGCTTTGAATTTTAATGTTCCTCTCCATTCTCTTTTTCTAGCTGGAACGCTTGCTGGTTTCCCTAGAGGATTATAAGTTTTGATATTCAGAAGACTGAAGGATGCCATCTGAGAGGTGCCTGAGGTATAGTACTTGGTAGTGTGTAGGAAGTTATTAATATTTAGGATGATGTTTACCAAAGATTCTGTTAAGAAGGTAGAAAAAAAGAAAAATTAAGAAGTTTGTTCATTAGATAGGAATTCACATTATTAAATATATATGTCCATGTTATAATCTGCAAAACATTACCTTGTTGCTTCTTATCTCAGGCAAGAATGACTGTGCCTGGGATTGATTGGAGGCCCACAATCTCTTCATACGTTATCTTATTTATACCATAGTCTATACTTGGAATTTTTGATTGTGGAAGCAGCAAGCAGTTTTCATTTATGCATCTGAAATGGTGTCTGATGATGATTTTGGGTCTGTGTAATGTTCCACTGTTCAGGGAATATTACTTTTCCAGTTATGTGAACTGTCTTCTAAGAATTCTCTCCAATTTCAGCTTTCTGCCTTCCCTTCTGTCTCTTTCCCAGTGTAGCCTTTCTCATTTATTTGTACTACCCATTGTTGTAATAGAGAATTTGTCATTTATAATTTAATTACTTTCTGGGAGCAGAACATGGTTCTTTCAGATGGAACGCTCTGCAGAATTTATTAACTGAATTGGTTTTCTGCAGAACTGTGCAGCAATGTGATATGTGGTTCTGTTTTACAGAGTAGCTAACACTCTGATCTGGGAGCTCAGAAAACTCCCTGATATGGCTGGGACCCCTTATCATTCCAGTTCAGTTCTCCCTTCCCTGCCATGCTTCTGCAGCAGAGGAGAATCAGAACTTGCTTTATAGCTATTGAATTTATCAACCGACAATACCACTACAAATAGTCAGTCATAACATGACTGATATTCTATGTATTTTCATTCATAAATTCAAGTTAAATTGCCTTTCATGTGTAAGAATTCTTCATATGTTATTAGCACAGGCAATTGATTTTTCACTTTGGTCACTGAATTGAAAAAATGGATTGTGATAGAACTCAGTTTAAAATCCCAGATATGTTCTCTGTTGAATGAAATAGTCCTCTGGATGATGGTTAAAAAAGCAAGAGGAATGAAGGTCTTCATTTGCAACACTGGGAGAGGGGCTAATAAAAATAGAAGTAAAGAGAAGCCATCTCAGGGTATCGTTAAAAGTATCGTACTTGCACTAGTTTTAGTCACTTTGCTATAGAAATTGCAGAAGAGAAATAACCGTTAAAATAATTCTCTTGTGTTTTAGCAAGTTAGATTTCTTGATGACTGCCATTTAGAATACGGGTTGAGTTCCACAAACAGAACAGCTGAGGAAAAAAAAATAATTCAAATGTGTCCGTTTGAAATGTATTTGGGGCAGGTCCATACGTGAAACCTAAACCGTCAGAGAGGCGGTAAGATTCAGATGCACGCTATTCCTCTTTGGCCAGCCTTCTTGTAGAATTAATGTTTAGTTTTGTTTTAGTAATGTTTTAGTAATGTTGTTGTCTTTCTAAAAGAGCAGATTAGATTAGAGCAAACAGTCTGCAAGACAGATATGCCATAGTTTATGGGTGCCCAAGGTGCAGTAGTAGGAGGGGGCAGAGAAAGGAGAGCAGCCACAGAGCAGCTGCATAGTACATATATGCAGTGAATTACATGATTGTGCTGGAAAGATGATGAGTTAATAACCCCTTAAAAAAAAAAACAACTTCACTTTCATTTACACTGAGATGACTCTCTGTAAACTCATCCTCTATAAACACATGTATGTGTTCTCTGGCAATATAAATTGGTAGTGTCACAGAGTTCAAATCAATTGTATTGTTTTGTACCAAAGAGGATTTGCTGATATGTTTTGATTTGTTTCTATTTGCATCAACAGTTATCTTGTATTTTCCTTCTGCTACAGAAAGAGGAAGCTGCAATCAGACAGTCTTAGACTGGATTATATGCAAATCTTATATTCATACATGGAAATATTCAGAGGTGGAGAAGGTCTTGGCATTTTAAAACCGAGTAAACATCCTCTCCCTTCCTTCTGCAATACAAAACAGACAATCAGAAAACCACCACAACACTTCATAAATATGAATAGCCTGAAGTGGTCTGAAAACATTGATCAACTCAACATCAGATTTAAACAGGCCACCTGAGACCATGAGGCATCATTCTTTTTTAGTAGAACCTCTTGCACATGTACATATACCCTCCTTTTCACCAGTGCTTCAGTTTGAACCACTTAAAGTTTTCTGTTGGTCCATTGACTTAAGCCCTCTATTGTTCTCATTTAATCCTAAAATGTACACGTGCTTCAGAATTCAGCTGACTTCTGGTACAGGAAATGAAATGTCAGAACCATTGAGTATATAAATTTGAGTTTATAATCAGTTTTCATAATGGTTTGTTATATTGACCTTTTCTTCTGATGCCTGTGCTGTGTAAAGATTTTATGGACAAGAGTTCATGGTTTTTTTAGCTTTCCAAGAATTTTCAAACGATCTTGTCTTAGTTGTTCTGTATTTATGACAGAATGTGCTTGTGTCATACATTTTTTGACAGAATCTTTCCCCTTTTTCCTCTCAGTGTTCAGGAAATGCTGACAGGTCAGAGGCTTTGTCAGTCTAGCTCCCACAATGATGCTGTCCTGGCAGCTCTGAACCAACAAAGAAGTGATGGCATACTTTGTGATATTACCCTTATTGCTGAAGAGCAGAAATTCCACGCACATAAAGCAGTCCTGGCAGCCTGCAGTGACTACTTCCGAGTAAGTCCCAAGATTTTTCTCTTTATATAATATATTAAAAAATTATTCTTGTGGAGGATGGAGATGGTTATAGATGCCATATTGAACAAGATTTAAATTTGAACCTTTGGAAAATGGAGGATTATTGCACACTCAGTAGAGTATGCAACTTTAAATATCCATAGGAAAGAAATGTTAAGAACACAATTTAGATTTTTTTCTAATAATAATTTATGGTAAGTCTTCCCCTCCCTCTGCCCCCAACAGAGATAGGCAGTGTACATCTTTCTATGAATTTAATGACCAGTAAAGTGAGAAAGTGGGAGATATTTAGTATGTAGAAATTTTTGTAAAACATATGGGAGTTGTGATTAGAGGACAGTCAAGAGGAGACTGAGGGAAGACCTCACTGTGGTCTTCAGCATCCTCATGAGGGGAAGCAAAGGGGCAGGCACTGGTGCCCTCTCTGATGACCAGTGATGGGACTCAAGGAAACAGCATGAAGCTGGGTCAGGGGATATTTAGGTTGGATATCAGGGAAAGTTTTTCACCCAGAGGATGGTTGATCACTGGAACAGGGTCCCCAGGGAAATAGCATAAAACCTGACCATAAAACCAGAGTTCAAGAAGCGTTTGGACAATACCCTTGGGCATATGGTGTGACTCTTGGGGTGTCTGAGCAGGGCCAGGAGTTGGACTTGATGATCCTGATAGCCCCCCTCCAAGTCACTGTGTTCTATGATTCTGTGATTAGAGGATGGAATTATGGAGATAGGGAGTTAAAACTTAGTCTTTACTGTGAGGCTGGTGAGGCACTGGAACAGGTTGCCCTGAGAACTTGTGGTTGCCCCATGCCTGGAAATGTTCAAGGCCAAGTTGGATGGGGCTCTGAGCAGCCTGGTCTAGTCCATGGTGCCCATGGCAGTGGGTTTGAAACTGCCTGATCTTTAAGATCCCTTTCAACCCAAGCCATTCTATGATACCATGATAAATGCAATTTAGTTCAGCTTGAAAGTGGATTTTTGTTGGATGTAAATGGTTGCTCTCAGATGGGAAGCCACAGTAATTTTTTAAAGGTGATAAAATTTATTTTCAGAAAAAAGTGTTTCCAAGGTGTAAAAGAAAATCTTCCATGGGAAATCAGATTCAGACAATTTCAGTCTAATCCCAATCTAAAATTGGAGCTGAAAAATTGTTTCCTTATAGAAAAAGTATTCTTCATATGAAGCAATTCTACTAACCTTTATAACAATGTGTCCACTCAAAATGTTGGACCATCTATAGCTCTGTAGTTGACTGGTGTTTTTAAGTGTGAGTCATCCTGTTAATTGGAGACTAAAACTGAAATTAATTTAATGGTCTATTTTCTCTAACAAAGTAAATTTATTAAATATTTTGTCTACACAGTAATTGTAGTGTTATGAACTTCTTTATGGGGATCTTTTTGTCTTGTTACAATAGTAATACAGTGTATGACAACTTCTCTATATCTCTGATTTCCTGAGCAGGGTTTTTATCTTCCTGTCAACTCTCTCTCACTTTTGGTTAGAATTTAGACTTAATTTATTTTGTGTATTTAAGAAATGTTATTAACCTTGATGTGACTTTTGTTGTGATGGTGTTGAGCCAATTGATTGCTCAGTTTTTGAGCTTATCTGCATGCTTATGGGTTCTGCTGCAGCATAGTTTGTACTGCCACGGTTGCTGATGTTGCTTCATCATGATACCCAGGCCCTGACTGCTTTGAATTTTTGTTTCCTTTCACCCCAGTACATAGAGAGGGATTCTGGACCTTTCTACCTGTAGCAGCTGCTATGTAGACTTGCCAATGATAGATAGAGTGCCTGTTGTTCTGGTTTGGTTGATATTTTCTTAAGAGTGCCATATCATCTGCACCTATGATACTCTTTCCAGAGCTCATTGTACCCTGTGCACAGAAATATCATGGAGTGGGCACCTGTGCACAGCTTTCCAAGAGTGTGGTAGGAACAGCTTCTACTTTGGTAACTACTGGTTGATGTTGAGATTTGGGGCACTGTGATTTATCCTGTTATTTCCAGTTGTGTTACTTGGCATTGACTGGGCAGTTACTGCAAATTAAAATCTTAGTGCCCTTTATTGCTACATAAATATTTTCTATTTAAAAAATGTTGAGAGAATGCTTTATGCAGCATTGAGTAATTTGGTCTGCCTCTAAACTCTATGGTTTGGTAGGATGTGTTCTTCAGACTTTAGATATCAGCTATAAATATGGAACCTGTGCTTTCTGGAATCAGGCAAACAGGTTTTTATTAATTGACAAAAATCTTTTTTTAGAATATTGTGAAATAAGATCTATATTCTGGAGGAGGATGGCAAGAAAGTTACACTATGTTCCTGATTCTAATAATTCAGAAAAAGCAAGAAAGCAAGAGTTGATTAAAAAGTAATAATATTTTCTATTTAACCTGAGATTATTGATTTTTTTATTTCTAGGGGAATTTTACCTAATTTGAGCTACTTGGGTATTCTTTTTCTTAGACTTAAGAGAATGAATCAAGCTTAACTTTAGAGTTGGTGAAAAGGAAGAAGCATTTCCAGAAGATGATAAAGGAGAATAACAGATTTATTTAGAATGACAGGAATGACGATCTGGAATGCCAGGTCTCTCTCAAGTGGCCATAACGGCCAGACTCATGTGCTTCAAACTTAGCTGTTAATATTATAGAATTTTTAACCTTATTTTTTCCCTAGAGGAATTCTTAGATGAAACTTTGAGACTTTTCCAACCCTAAAGTCATTTATGAAGAACTCATGTGAAACTCACCAGGATGGACCCACTGCCAGCCAAGACTGAACCAAGCAGGGAATGATAGTAGCACCTCTATAGTTTGTTAACAAGGGGGGAAAAAAGTTACTGTACAGATGTAATTGTGGCCAGAGAAGAGTAGGGTGAGAATATAAGAGAGGAACAACTGTACAAACACCTAGGTCAGTGCAGAAGGAGAGACAGTAGATGCTCCAAGTCCTGGAGCTGACATTCCCCTTCAGGCAATGGTGAAGAACACGGTGAGGAAGCTGTGCCCCTGCAGCCCAAGGAGAGCCACAAGGATGCAGAGAGCCACTTGTAGCCCATGGAAGAGACCCTAGCCAGAGCAGGTGGATGCCTGAAAGAGGTCTCTGAACCCCTGGGAAACCTGAGCTGGAGCCAGATCCTGGCAGGGACCTGCAAGACCTGTGAAGAGAGAAGCTGAGGCTGGAGCAGGTTTCTTAGTAGGACTTGTGGGGAAACTAGGCTGAAGCAGCCTGTCCTTTTGAAGGACTGCACCTCGTGGAAGAGTGACCCACATTGCAGCAGTTTGTTGAGAGCTGCTGTCTGTGAGATGGACTAACATTGGAGAAGTTCATGGGGAGCTGTCTCTCCTTGGAGGGACCCCATGGTGCAACAGGGGAAAGACTCCCCTCCCTGAGCAGAGGGAGAAATTGCCAGCAATGAACTGACCATAACCCCCATTCTCTGTCTCCATGCACTGCTGGGGGAGGAGGGAGAGCTGAGAAGGAGGAAAAGGTGCTGGGAAGTTGTTTTTAAGGTTTATTTCACTTCTCACTATCTTGATCTGGTTTTGTTAGCAATTAATTCTATTAATATCCCAAATTTGAGTCCATTTTACCCATGGCAGTACTTGCTGAGTGATTTCTCCTGTTCCTTAACTCATGAACACTTCGTTATATTTTCTCTCCCTTGTCTATTTGTGGAGAGGACTTAGAAAGAAGCTTTGGTGGGTGCCTGGCATCCAGCCAGCATCAGTCCACTACAGTCTTTTTTCCAGGTCTCCAAGAATATGTTCAATTCTTTGCAGGGCTTTATCAAAATGAATAGTTTGTTTTCTCTTTTTGCCACTATTGTAAAACAGCTTCTACAAGAGACTGGATGTTTGCTTTCTATGGAGGGTCTGTATAGTTTTCTGCAGCTTTGTTCCGTGTCTACTTCTTAAATTGTAGTGCTTAATGTGCTTTAATTGTAGTGTTTTCTTGAGCAGCATATTTTCTTAGAAATTGATACTTATGTCTTTTACTGGAAAGAAAAGTTAATGCTTTAAAAGGATAACTAAATGTATGTAATTTTACAGACTGGCATAATTGGAGCCACTTGTGGGGGGAAGAGTGGACAGAGAGGGCCAGAAGTTTCCTTCTCAAATTTTCTTTCAGATTATTGTCTGGAGTAAAATCTTTTGCTTTCCTAAGACAGACTGGAGACCTGAGCTTCAGCAAAATTCTTAAAGGTCAGCCTTCTAGGGTAACAGCAGGCCTTCTATTCTTCCTGTTGGTATAGTTAGTCTCACAGTCCCAGCTATGCAGAAACATGGAAGTTTAAATCCTAAGGGTAACTCCTGGTTTGGAAACTTATTACATTTGTACACCAAAATTTTGTGGATTTTCTCTTTATGAAAAAAAAAATCCCTAAGGGAATTGGATACAAAGACTCTGTATACAGAGTTAAACTGCAGTATTAGACACTTGAAAATTAGAAGTTTTAATTTGTTTTCTGCTCCTGAAGTACCTCTTCTTTCAAAATGTCCTAAGGAATATAGTAGTTATCTCCATACTCTAAAAAAACACTATAAAAAATAGTAAACATCTGTATTTTTATGTGTTCTTTTTAAAGCAACAAACAACATTTTAGGCAAACTTTTCCATATTGACATGCTGTGATTTGCCATTTGTCTCAATCTATTGCACTGAGACAAGGCAGTTGAGTTAATATGTGTAACTGTAATAGTTCTAGCAAGCTAAGTCATTTCCAATTAAAAGATTCTTCTGCTTTTTTCCCCTCTGGGAGCAAAATGAAATGTTACTGCATGACTTCATTAGTAGGCATTTACAGTGCTGGCAGGTGGTTATATAACCTCAAGATTTTCTTGTACAAAATGCATTGGTTTCCCAGTCAGAAAAACTCTTCTTCCCTACTTTTCATTTGAGTGGGTTTTAAGTTGCAGGACTTTGATCTTTCTCAAAAAGATGCAGATTTTCCATCTAATTTA